GTGCCCGCTGTGTGCCCGCTGTGTGCCCGGTGCGTGCCCCGTGCCCGGCTCCCTTTGCCCGTCCGGTGCCCGGTGCTTGGTGCCCGCTGCGTGTCCAGTGCCCGCCTCGCCCCGCAGTGCCCGGTGTGCTCTCCGTGTGTGCCTGGTGTGTGCCCCGTCTGTGCTCCGTGCCCACTGGGTACCCCCTGTGCAGTGTGTGCCCCATGCCCGCTGTGTCCCATGCCCAGTACATGTCCCACGCCCAGTGTGTACCCGGTTCCCGGTGTGTGTCCCATCTCCCATATCCCATGTCTCATAGCCCATACCCCATATCCCCTATCCCAAATCCCACCCCCCATCCCCAAATCCCACTCCCTACCCCCGATATCCCCCATCCCGTTCCCTCTCCCCCCCATCACTGCGCCCCCTGGCGCGGGCTCGGGAAGCTGCCCCCCCCCCCTCCCTGTGTTCCGTGGTCTCACCTTACCCCCCTCCCTCCGCCCCGCCCATGGTATGTCCCGCCGCCCCGCTCCCGCGCATGCGCGTCCCGCCAGTGGCGGCCCGGGCCTGCTCCGCGCGCATGCGCAGAGCCTGGAGGGAGCCGGGAGGGAGCCGGGAGCACCGGGAGCACCGGGAAGGGGGAGCGGGGACGGGCAGGGAAGGGAGCGGGGGGAGCCCCGCCGGTGTGAGGGACACCCCGCCGGTGTGAGAGACACCCCGCCGGTGTGAGAGACAGCCCGCCGGTGTCAGCGGCGCGGCGGCACCGGGATCGCGAGTGCGGGGGGCCTGAGCGGGCCCCGCGGCGGCAGCATGAACGCGGCCCAGGGCACGGTGGGCAGCGACCCCGTCATCCTGGCCACGGCCGGCTACGACCACACCGTGCGGTTCTGGCAGGCGCACAGCGGCATCTGCACCCGCACGGTGCAGCACCAAGACTCCGTATCCTTCCCGGGGCTCGGGGCGCCGCGGGGCGGGCCCGGCTGATGCTCCGTACCGACCTTAACGGCGCCCGCAGCAGGTGAACGCCCTGGAGATCACGCCGGACAGGAGCATGATCGCAGCCGCAGGTGAGCACGCCCGTCCCGCCGGGCACGCCGGGCACACCGGGCACACCGGGCACACCGGGCACACCGGGCACACCGGGCACGGGGACGGCACCCACGCCCTGCCCGGTGCTTGCAGGGTACCAGCACATCCGCATGTACGACCTCAACTCCAACAACCCCAACCCCGTCATCAACTACGACGGCGTGAGCAAGAACATCACGTCGGTGGGGTTCCACGAGGACGGGCGCTGGATGTACACGGGCGGCGAGGACTGCATGGCCCGCATCTGGGACCTCAGGTGGGCACGGGGGGCTCCCCTCCTCCAGCAGTGCCCTGGGGCTGCGGGGCTGATCCCAGGCTCCCAAACACGCCCCTTCCTCACTGGCTGTTGCAGGTCCCGGAACCTCCAGTGCCAGCGCATTTTCCAGGTGAACGCTCCCATCAACTGTGTCTGCCTGCACCCCAACCAGGTGAGCAAACTGGCTCCTTCTGTGGGCTCCCAGCACACTGAATCCTGTGGAAGGGATCTTCAAGTTCACCTCGTCCCAATTCCCTGCCGTGGACACCTTCTGCTATCCCAGGTTGCTCAAGCCCCATCCTGCCTGGCCTTGGACACTTCCGAGGATGGGGCAGCCTCAGCTCCTGTGGACAAGTTGTTATGTGGCTCCTCTGGGTAAATCTGAGGGGCTGCAGAGTTGTATCCCAGCAGAAGATTTTGGGAGGGTGGCTGGGATGGGTGACCTTCCTGGTGGCACAGACCCATGGGCTCTTGGTGGCACTGCAGGACAGGCAGCAGCCTCCTTCCCACCCCCCATCTGCCCCCTGCCTGGCCAAGCTGCTGGTGCCAGGAGCTTTGGGTGGCACTGCTGGCAAGAAAAAGCATCTCAGGGCCCACAGCCACGATTCCCATCAGGTTTGGTTGAGATCCACCAGTGGGTTCAGCAGCTGTTGCTGGGCAGAGGGAGGGCTGGGGCTTGGAATGAGACTGAAGGGAACGTGGTGCATTAGCAGGGAAATCAATAAGGATCATTGCAGTGCTAATGACTCTGCTGGGCTGCAGGGCTGTGGGTTTGCCTGCAGACAGGGCAGTGCAGACCTTTGTAAAGTGCTGAGTAATGGAAGTGTTCCTTTGCATTTCATTTGGCAAAGGTTTAATTTTGGAAATCGGGAATTTCAGACCAGATTTGAGATCAGTTATTTGGACCAGACTTTACCCAAATGCTCCTGTAGTGTCAGTGCTGTAAAAATATGTTATGGTAAAAAAAAGTATTGCTGCACATAGGTCTCAGATGGGAAATAATCACTGACCAAAATGCTGCTGAGGTGCAGAGTGTTGGTTTGTGAGCAGAACATGGTTAATTAGTCCAAAGGTGGCAGCATTTCTTCAGATAGGTCCATGGCTCTGCAATTCCCTCTGCAGAGATGCTGCTCCAGTTATCCCACATTCCTCATGGCCTGGGTAAATCATGATGGCTTTAGGAATTGCACTTTACACCTGCTAAGAGGGGCTGAGGATTAAGGTGCCCAGAAAATGCTTCTGTGCAGTCAGGTAAATATATCAGTGGTGTTTGTCTTCCTCAGAACAAGGCTGTGCTCCCAGGCCCAGGATTAGCTGTGCCTGATGACCTGATCTCCTCTAGGGATTCTGCTGGAGTTGTGGGCAGTGCAGGGCCGTCGATAAAGCCCTGCCTGAGTGGAGGGATGCCAGCATTGTCTTCTGCTCTGAGTGTGGGATCAGAGCCAGGACTCTGCCCTTCAGCTGGCTCTTGTCCTTCCCCTGAGAAGGCGTGAGAGAGAAAAAAAACACTCCAGGTTGTGTTTTTCAGGTATCTGTGCGCTCTTGAGTGCTTCAGTTGTTCGCTGGCCAGTCTGCATCTAAATGCTTCCTCTCAGATGTGCTGAAAATCACTTGGCTCCTGTAGATTTT